AATTTTAGATACACTTCTTGGGAGGAGCTCTCCCATTCCATTTTGATATTCTGGTTCATTATGGAAGAAAGCTGGAGCTACCTTTTGAAAGACTTCAGCAAAGTCAAGCTTCCCTCACAACCAATACTGCCAGAGCAGAGGTTTCTGTTCCCCAGAATATTATTAGTGCTGGCAGCAAGGAACATTACAGTCTTAGAAGTTTCTTGAAGGTGAGATTACATATTTAATAATTTAATAAATGTGCGTAATTGAGCTTTATCAGAATGCTTTAATGAAAACCTGAAGATGTGTTTTCTTTACCTCGCTCATTAACCATTGTTTCTGTTTGAGCCCAATATCTAAGTGCTGTGTTTCATCCAGTATCTCTTCCAGGGTTAAGGGATGTGTATCACCGCGCTGGTGCCGGGTCTGGAAAAGCAAACAGGACCTATTACAGTTCTGTACTCACTTGATTCAGCAACTCAAGTCACCAAAAAGTAACTAAGGTTGGCACCAAATTACACTTCATTTTGACCAATAGCCCATGAATCCCAGAACCTGACAGCATCTTGCAATTCCTGCATATAAACCCCATTATCTTGGTTGTAAAGTGACCTGGGATTTCAGTTATGGAACAATATGCTGACAATTTCATTTACTGACAGCACTTGGAATTTAACAAGCAGTTTCTTGAAATTCTCACTCTTGCAGTAAAAGAACTTCAGAGGTTGAAACATTCAGCATTTTCCAGCTACCACAGGATATGAAATAATTAGAGTATTTAAAACCAGTATTATTTTACACCAAAAACATCATACCTTCATATAGTTCACTATTTTAGCAAGGACTCCAAACTTGTAGCCAGAGCCTCCTGAAAGGGCTTTCAAGTTAAATGATCCATTGCTGTGATCTACAAGGAAAGAAAACCAACAATTAAGAGGATGCCTCGATACCTTCCTGTTGGCTCTGAGCTCCATCACGTTCTCACTCTGCTTCCAGCAGCTTTTGACACGACAGCGATGGTCAGAATCAGCAGTGGCAGAAGCAGCCACCCCCAGGTGACTCCTTGCACATGCCTTGATCCAGACCCAGAGACTCAGAGGACACAGCTCTGGGACATTTCTGAGCAGAACTCCACAAATAAAAAGTTAAGAAAGCAGCAAGTGGCTGCAGAGTTACTGCCACAAGAGAACGTGCTTAATTCGGTGGCTTAACATCCCATAATCATTTTCACTACATTAATCCACGCTGAAATAATGCACTGCATTTGCTCCACCAACACCTTCCTGCTGCTGACATGGGGACAGAAAGCTTCCCTTCTTCCCAAAAGGCACTCAGTGGTTACACAGCAGGTAAAGGAAAGCTGTGATTTTTTAAAAAATGATTGTTTAAAGTAGCTCTAGTGGAGAATTTATTAAACAGACCCATACAAACGCAAACCAATTCAACCTGGTGTGTTGCACCACTGGAACAACAACTCAGAACCCCCTCTGTTGTCAACTCTGGTTGTCTTTATAATGAGGTTTACTATCTTTTTGTTTCAAAAATTCAAAAATTCTTGCAAGGTCGTTAATGACCATTTCATTAACACCAGCTCTTAGCACTGCACATTAAACACAAATATCCACAAACCGCTGTCACAAGCCACAGGCTCATTACCAGCACAACATTGCTCAAACCTAATGGCAACAGTTTCTTTGGATTTCAGCTACTCCAGAAAAAGAACATCCTCTCTTTGTCACCAGGGGGATTGTTTAATCCTCTGGTGATTTCTAAGCACATCTGATAGGACAAGAGCCATCTCAGAGATAGGAGCTCCTATTATTTCTGTGGAAAAACCCGTGAAGGGAGAGAAAAGAACAGAACCTTGAAGCTGTTACATGACATTGTCTTAGAGGCTCTACACAGCACAACAATTCTAAAATTAACACAGAAGAATCAGTGTAACTCCAGCTACAGAAGAATGTTTTATTCTGGTTACTAAATTAAGATGGTAAAAGGAGGAAAAACAAAAGCTGGCTCCCTCTGAAGATGCAGCCCACAGGGATTTTCCCCTACAGGGTTTCCCTTTTAAGATTAAAAATTAATGTCTATGTAGGGCATTTTAGAAATAAATAGAAAAATCATAAATGTGATGAAAGATCTGAAGTGACCAAAATAAATTCAGAGGTACAACAAACAGTCAAGACAACTTAGCGTGTTTTTGATCTGTCAATTGTGAATCAGGAAGATTATCTTGTTTAATCTGCCTGGCTGCAGCCTGCTAGAGTTCATGACAAGAGAATCTAACCACACGGTGAGCCTGGAAATCTGCAGATATTAACACTTCAAACGTCGTGGTTTGATGGCTGATCCCAGCACAAGGCAGAGCAGGGTGGTGGCCAAGGCGACCCCCTGCTAACGAGCTCATCCCATCCTAAAAAACAACAACAGGGAGGGGTTTGCTTCTTATTCCAGACAGAAAGAGTCATGCTTATGAATGATTTACTCCTGGGGTTGAGGGCTCGATGCAAATGAGCACAAAGGAAGTTGTCAGCAGCACCGTGCTCTGGCCAATGGAAGGAAAGCTCCATCTTAGCTGTGCCATAGGCTGCACTAAAAAAAGGGACCAGAACGGCGCTCTCTCAGCATCCTTTCACACGAGAGGTAGGTGTGTATCATTTTATAACATTCTCTGAGGTTTATCTTGATTACTGAAAGAAAATATGCCTGTAAGCTGAGAACCTGTAAAAGCTTCTTGGAATCAGAATGATTTTTCTCTAGGCTGAGCGGGATTTATCCCGCTGAACGCGCAGGAGCTTGTCTTGCACGATCAGACAAGCACTTTCACCATCTGTGCACTAATGGAAAATTGATGACCACTCCATCTTACAGCAAAGCTAACACAAGCCAAGATTCGGTAAACAAAATGGATTTCGTCCTTACAGGGGAGGTGGCTGGTTTCCTGCAGCCTCACATTCCTTGTGATTGATTCTGTGTGTTTTCACAGAAATGACAGCGAAAGGCTTTTCCTTAAAACAAAGACAGCTCCAGCTGAAATGTGAGAAATGTTACCTCCCAGGGGGTATTCTGTAAATTAGGCTGCCTAAAAGAGATCTGTGTATGTGGAAGAGAAACCTGTTCTGGAAATGTGCTATACACTGGGTAGGGAGAAAATCCCGCTGCCTGCTGTTATCTTTGGAAATACTGGAGCAGCCATCGAGAGGACGCAAACAGCCGGGGTAGAATGCACCTGAGATTTGTAAATGCTTTTACCCCGAGATGTCTGCTCAGTGCTTTCTTAAACAGGAGCTCCTCAGTGCTGCATTAAAAGGATTTTCTGCCAGTCATTACCCTCTGCTCCCCGAATATGATTTCAAATAAAGCTGCTCCTCTGCAGTGCCCAAAGATGCTAATGCTTTTAAATTAAAACCTGGCGCAGATATTAGAGGAACCAGTTCATTAAATATTTAACTCACTGCATTTTGGATACATACAAGTGCTGACCTGATGGCAAACCAGACTGGTTGGCGATACGAATCTGTACTGTGCCATTACAAAATAAGTAAAACTGCAGGAAATCAGCCCATTTTTGACAGCTTTCAAGGACACTAACCTCATTTGTGCTCTTTTAATTCTGAACAGTCAGCAACAGCTACTTCAGCCTTGTATTTTAATAACTACAGCAAAGAGTAGCTGGTCTTTATCTGCCTCGCCTCATTCAAATCTAAGGAGATCATCCTCCTCCTCCTCCTCAAGGAGCATTAAATTCCACCTCCTGGCATTAAGACAAACATCTCTCCACTGTGCAAACCACTATTGGTGGCAGTGGAGTGGGAAGGGAATGGCTGCTGCACTGCGCCGTGCTGCCGGCTCCTGCCTGGCCATGCCGTGCCCGAGATGCTCCTCTTTTCCTGGGAACAGAGCTACTGCCTTGGCAGAGAGCTGTGCTGGAAAAGGGTCCTGGCTACACAGTGCAGAGCTGGACAGTCCCTCCAGCAGCCCCAGATCTTGATCACTTTGAGCAATATAAATAAAAAAAACCCAAAAAACCACCAAAAACGACTAAATTTTGCATCAGAGCAACAGTCTATTTTTGTGCCTGGGGTCTATAGAGCGGGCAAACTTACACGTAACAATTCCAACCAAACCCTCAATCTTGGAAATCTGTTAACAAAGTCCAAACCAAAACTCCTTTCTTTCCCAAAGGTATCCTCTTGTCATTTAAAATACACAATTAAAGTCCTGCTTATTTTAAGTACTCCTCAAAGTGGACTCCAAATCCTTTTATTCAGCTCCTCCCTCTCTCTTTCTCTCATGGATTATTTTAAATTAAGCCTCCAAGCCACCCCTCCCAAAACCCTCTTGACTTTTAGCCCCATAACAGGTTGGCTGAGTTTCCTTCCCAGACCGTGACCAAATCCAACCACTCTCTTGAAGCCAGGACCTGACTCAAGCCAGGAGTATTTTTAGGTTGGATTTGCTCTGTAAACTTTTGTTTAAGGGAAAAAAAAACAACCCACCAACAATTTAATTAATCCCATCCACCTCCGTCGTACTTTGTATATTCAACTACTAATTTGTGTACTCAGTCACAGATTTCACAGAGGAAAAGTTGCTGCAACTGCTCCAGTAAATGTCTGTATGGAACCCTAATGCCAGGGACCTTCCCAGCAACAAAGCTCTTTGGTTTCAATTTAAATCCATTGAAGGCAGAAGTATAAAGGACAAAATATGTAATATTTGAACAATAAAAATAAGGCATAGATCACAAGCTGATTTGGTAGCAGGATCCTGGTTTTCATTTCATTTAATAACTTCACAGAAATGAAGACAGGTGCTCAGACTGCTTTAGTAGACACCACCACGACCACGCTCCACCTAAAAACTCCTTGCCATTTCCTCAAGGAAATATGGAGACCTGACTTGATCTCCTCCTCCCACGCCCAATTTTCAACTGCCTGTGGGATTCAAAGGTTATTATGACGTCCTACAGCCACAGCAGGTAACCACAAGTTACCGTAGCTCCTTGGACAATTTTTATTACATTGGACTACAGAGCAAAGGCAGATTTGCTGAAGTCTTTCTTGCTTCATCTCCCCCCACACCACAGAGCAGCCTCCTCCTCCTCTGCTGGGTGCCAACAGACAGCACTGGGGCCAGGGTTAGGCAGAGTTGAAAATAAGAAATCAGACCTCCTCACAGAAAGGGTTGGGTATTCCTTGTCATCCCCCCTGATGACTACAGCACCACAAACAAGATTCCCAAACACTCTCAGTGCCATCTGGGCAGCCAAGTTCCTCCAGCAGAAACTACTCAGCAGTGGAACGAATGGGTCAGGCAATCTGCTCTCCTGAAGTCAAGCGAGGTTTTGCAGGTGATTCCAAAATTCCAAAACAATAAGGCCTTTCCCACCATGCAAGTGGCAGCCTCAAGGCTGAGAACCAGACGCTGCCAAAATAAATATTCCTGTCCTATCACAAACTTACACATCTGGAGTTTGATATTTTGGGGAGCAAATATGAGCATGCAACAATCCAGGTTTGCATGGATTTCTGTATTTAAGTAGCTGCAATTTGTGATAAATATCACGGCATGTCTTTGATTGACAGAGTCCTCAACAGCTTTGTTTTTGTGTTTCAGCTCCCAAATCTGTGCCAGTGAGCCTACTCAGACAGCTCCTCAAGAATGGCAACCCTCAACAGCACTCACTGGAATGAGACTACTACATCCATTTCCCAGTACCTGGGCTTCCAAGTGCAAAAAATTTACCCTTTCCATGACAACTGGAACACTGCCTGCTTTGTTATCCTGATCATATTCATCTTCACTGTAGTTTCTCTGGTGGTGCTGGCTTTCCTGTATGAGCTGCTGGACTGCTGCTGCTGCGTGAAAAACAAAACTGTCAAAGACTTGGAGAACGAGCCCAATCCCGTCAGAGCAATGATGAACAGCTTCAGGAAGCGCGAAACGGAGGTGGTGTAGGAAGCACTGAGCACCTGCACTTGGAGAGCAAACTCGGTTTGACACCTCGAATGAAGCCTCTTGTACCTTACAAATGAGCAAGTCACGTGCTTTTTTTCTTTTGGACCTAAATATCCACGGTTGCAATTTTATCTCTGGATGTGAGCTGGAATAATTGCAAAGGCTTTCCAAGTGTTTGGCAGAAAGACAATCTATTGCAGTGCTATGGGAGGGAAAAAGGTCTTTGTTTTTAGATGAACTTTTGCTGTTTATATTGGGTGACTAGAATAGAATTTTGTCTACCTGACTGAACAAATTTTGCCTAACATGCATAAAACTGTTGTTTAACTGAAGAAAACACTTATAAAATGCTCAACAGTCTGATCATATTCAGTGCAAAGTCAGCAGGGTTGTCCCACCAAGTCAGCCACACAGGTACAGGACAGACAGACAAGGGGTAAGAAAAAAGTTGGGGAGAGAAGGGTTGAATGGCAGGAGAGGACTGGGTAAATTTTAGCCTTTGGCAGCACTTTTTGTTATGGGTTTCTTGCTTTTAGAAGAGAGAGTGGTGGGAGGAAAACTAAGCCAACCAGAAATGCATCCCTAAAGCGGTCTTTTCTAGTCCTCCTAAGGGTACTTTGACCCTTTCTTTCCCCACTTCTTCAGTTCCAGGGAACTGTTCTCCCCTTACTTCATATGCAGTCTGGCTAACCACTTCTGTCTGTTAAGACCTGTGTAACCCATTACCTTCAGAATATCTGACCCTTTCCAAAAATCCTGCTGGAAATGAACAGAGACAATTCTGAACCCTAAGGCAGCTGCTTCTGTGGCAACCACAACACTACAGGGAATTGCACATGCTGGATCTGTCATCCCTATGCCAAACTTCCAAAGCCAACTGGAAGTGATGGAGCTCTTGCCAAGAATGCAGGGAGATGGGCCACAGACCTCCCACACTGAAGAAGGGGATGCAGCTTTCAGGTGCAAGCATGTTTCACACAGGAGGCCACAACAGGATCAGCACTGTGCTAAGAGGGCAGCTTCACTGTGCACAAGAGAATCTCCCTTGGCTTCATCTGCCTGCTGATACATCCCAGAGTTCACACTCACCCCTTCCTCACGTCCTCACCACACAACTCTCACACCTCTGGCTCACCACTCCTCTGTAGCTATGCTGTGTCTGGGATTTTTAAAAGCCTTCAAGTTTTGCAGCTACAAATGGCAACTGTAACAACAGTGCCCAACGTGGCCATCAGTAACTCCTGGCAAGTCCTTCCCACTCCTGAACCCACACGGAAATGTCCCAGAGCAAAGCTACACACTGGACAAGCTATTTAACTGTATCGACCCCAGAAAACATTCCTGCCATGAAGGAGACAAAATCCACCCAAATGGCCACAGCCATAAGTGACTTCACAGTCCACCCATGTCTGAAAAACCTTTGTGCCATGGCCAGTACCTATAATGATATTTTTTTTCATATATATATATATTTATATATATATATATAAAAAAAATCCCTCTCTCAGGTTGAGCATGACTAAGCTCCAGAAGATCTGGACACAGTGGAAGACTTGCTAATAGACACATGCTGCTCCTGGTTGGTGAGATGGAGTCACAAGACACCCAAGGCACAATGAACTAGCACAGCTAGTCCAGTGATTCACCTGGAGAAGCAAACTCCCTCCTGCAGTCACAAATCCTCACAACCACTCATCTCAGACACACTTCTTACAGTCAAGTTTGGCCAGGACCAGTCCCCCGTGCAGAGAATGCTTCAAGCTCTAAATCAAAAGCACAACTGATGGGAGCCCCAAGTACAAGACAATTCAGGACTCCCATCAAGACGTACGACAAAGAAAACGTCAGTGGTGACAACAATGACACGTCACCTTCTGCTGTAGGTGACAGCATCAGACTGCAAAGTCCTGCTCAAGAGGCCACAGCAGCCATTGGGATGCACTGAATTAATTAATGTCTCTTTCCTAAAAGCAAATGCCCTGGACACTGTCAGCATTCCCACAAAATGCCCATCAGGGCTGCACAGCAGAGGGCAGTGTGTGCAACACGCAGCCTCTGCTGCTCTGGCAATGCCTTCCCGAGAAGCACATGGAATGACAAACCTTGGGACTCATCCCAGCTTTTTTTATTTCATAGGTCTGCAAAGGGGAATGGCTGTGGGCACAAGAAACAGAAGACAAAGGTGTCCCCTTGCACAGTACCAGAGAAGACTCAGGACGATTCTTTCCCACGAAATAGCCCCTGAAGATTTTGGCTCTTGACTACTGTTGGCGGAGACCGCTGAGACAAAGGTCTTCAGACAAAGGCCACAGCCACAATTTACTACTGATTAATAAAATGAAACAAACAGATTTGATCCATTTCGTTCATTTTCCAGTTCCTATTCTGAACTGAGTAAACTAGTTTTGAATATTTTCAGCAAACCTGTTGAAATAATGATCTGAAATAATGATAGTGAAGTCTGTATAGCAATTGCTGTAGGAGCAGTGGGAAGCTTAGAGCCAGACTTCGCAGACAGGCCAGATTCAGCTGTGCTTTTTAATTTGAAGATTAATTACCACGGTCTCCATACCTCTCCTCCCCCCAAAAGTGAAAAGGGCAGGTTCTCTGAGTCACAGAATCACAGAGCGAGGGAGGACCTGTGGGCACTACACACGCTGGGACTATCAGTGCCAACACACAAACAAACTCCATTTATCACCTCTGTGGCTGCTACACAACAAAACTAGCAGTGACCCCCCCTGGTTTTTCTTTCTTTGGGGTGGTGGGACAGGGATTCCTCAAGATCAGGTCTTTACTCCACCTCCCCAGACCCGACTTTGACACCCACACAGCCAGACAGGCACCTGCCAGTCAGGCAAGTGAAATAAAAAAAGGGTTTTGAGGCAATGGATTTTGACTCCGTAGCATAAAAACATTGTAGAAACCCCGGAACCTTTCTGGTACTGCCTGGAACGCAGCCAGCAGCATAAAAGATCAATTTTATTTCCTCAGAGGCACGCTGGGTCCCTGTTTGTGTAAGTGTCTGACAGCCACAAAAGCACTTTAAGAAACCCTCAGCCCACCAAAACCACAGAAACAAAACAAAACCTTCTTCATCTGCTCAAATCCTCCGGATCAGACTCACACTTGTACCCTCTGCCCTCTCCCTGACTCCCTGTCCCTTTTTCCCAGCAAACCCCTCTCACCCCAGTGACGCAGCTTAGGATATTCTACGTAGAACTTTGTTTTATTTGGAGAGTGTGAAAAAGGGATGGATGGAAACCTGGCCTCCCTTGATTTATTTTAGCATGTCTGGCTGATACTTTATTTGGTGCCTGAGAAGCTGCAGACACATACCCAAATTCCCAACTCTTCCCCTGGGACAGAAGATGCTTCACTCCTCCAAACTCCCTGGCATTCTTCTCTGTTGTTTTTAGCTCCATTGTTTCTTTTGGATTTTAGGAGAGAGCCACGTGTGGTATTATTCAAAATATGAGCATGGACTGAGTTTGCACAACAGGGTATTTTGTGTTTTAGTAACTCCTGGCATTTGATCTGACCTTTAAAGTGCACTTGAGAACTGCCACTGCTTTCAGAGCAAATCCTCTCCCCGGTGCCACACTTTCCACACACTCCCACTATTTTTGGTGCCTCTTTATTAACTGTTGATTCGATCCTGAGAGAGGCATTACCAGTGCCACCACCCCCGGGAAACGCCACAACTCCTCAGTAAAAGAGGCAGAAACCTCTGGAATGGCTGGTGCTCATGAGCAAAGCTTAGCTCCCAGGTGAAACAAGGACAACAGCTAATTACAACATGCAAGCCAGACAAGATGCACCTTGCAAAATCCATCTTGTGTATGAGTACCCTTCAACTCAACAGTTACCTAAATGCTTTAGGTGCTCTCCTGCCAGAAATAATCACAGAATCATGGAATGGTTTGGGTTGGAACAGAGCTTAAAGATCATCCTGTTCCAACCTCCCTGCCATGGGGACATCTTCCACTAGACCAGGTTGCTCCAGGCCCTATCCAACACGGCAAACAGGGAGAAAACAAACAACACCACTGCTACTGCCTGTCCAGCCAGCACCAAAAACCACAAAGCAAAGCACAGTTTCACATGAATAATTTTGGCAGTAGTGATTCCTCCAACGGAGCAACAGCAAACAAGCTGCTAGATAAGGCTTAGCACATATGCACAGCGGGGAATGTGTTTTTCACATTGTGCAAGCGCCTTGCTTAACAAAAGCAGCAATTTAAGAGAAAGAATGACAACGGCCACCAGCACAACTCACAGATACAGCGTTCTTCACATTAATAAACCACAACTTAAAGGCAAATAGTGGGAAACACAAAGCACCTGCTGGACAGGAGACTTCCACCCACCTGTGTTTTGTTTTGAGCTGGAAGAGCCCCCTTGTTCTACCTTGGCCTTCTTCTTCTTGGAAGCGGAGGAGTCCGAGGAGAGTGCTGGGCGTTTCTCTACGGCCGGCGTGGAGAGGGCTCGCTTTTTAAACAGCTCCCGCTCCCTCAGCAAGCTGGGGTCCATGATTCTGCCACGGGGAAAAGGCGAGAAAAAGGTGTCGGCGTCACTGAGGTATTTTAGGAGCAGAAGTACCAGTTTACCACGGAATACGCTGAGGGTCCCACCACTGAGTCCAACTCTTAGCCCTACACAGGACCCGGCCAGAACCCCACAGTGGGCCTGGGAGTGTCGTCCAAAGGCTCCGTGGGCTGTGTCAGGATTGCTGCTGTGACCGCATCCCCGGGGTGCAACTTATTTCTTGGCTGCTCCTCCTTTTCCCGAATATGGACTTGAAGAACAAAGTAAAGGTGTCAGTGCACTACCGGAACCTTAAGGAGTGTGAATAGGAATGCCGAACCAGCCCTCAGGGCCACAGCTGGCCAGGACAGCCGAGCACCAGGCTAACGAGGGACCTCACAGCCACCGGCAGGACGGAACAAAGTAGCAGCGCGGCGAGCGGGCGACCGGAAACCACCGGCCGGAGGATGCCGGTGCCTCGCCGCCCCTGTGCCCGCGGACAGAGCGGGGAAGCCGCTCCCACATCCCCCTCTCCGTTCCTGTCCCG